CACCTCCGCCCTCCCCCCCCCCTCCCCGCCCCCCCGGCCCCCCGCGGCCCGCCCGCCCCCCCCCCAAGAAGAAAATGCCTTAAAGATTATTGCCAGATTCCAGTTCCCCTTCCCCTGTTCCCGGAGACAAAATGATAAAGACGTTTATTGAACGTAGCCCACCTTTGGAGCATCATACGGATGCAGAAGAAGCAGTCAGCTCATGCAAGCTCTCAATATAACCGCAAATATATAACCCCACACATGTAACGTTCTCGTTGTGCTACAACAAGGCTGCATATGACCGCATTATTGTGCTCCCTTCTCTGAGGGCTTTGCGTCTATAGCAACCTCTTGGATACCATTCTCTACCCACCGTAGAGACATAGGAATGCACATCATGCGTCCGGGCTACCACAGTCCCTACTTACAGAAAAGATATATATCTATAGGAGCTACGTTGGCATGTCGCATGCTGAGATAGGCGATCTCCCCCACCCCCCGTCTTCGGCCGCGGGAAACGCAACTTGATACCGACCTGGCGGCACACACCTTTCGTTCGGCAGATCTCGTCTAATCCCTAGGCACGGATGCCGACTTCGGATATTCCGCAATTAAACTGTTGCATACATTGAAACATAAGCGAATATGGCATATGGCCCGGTCTTTAAGTCTCTTCAATCTGGGTTTCCGATATAAAAAAATACATATTGTAGAACGATAAACGTCGTAGTTAATCCGCGTAAATTAAATCACGCCTGTCTCATCGCCAATCCGCCAACACGGTATCTCCCTCTTTCACATTAGCGTAACCCAGACTATCGGCCCATAGCCGACGGCATTTGGCCTCGTCTTTGGCTTCCGGTCCGACGTCCGCGACGGCCGAGCCGTTGAGGTAGAGCCCGTTCGGGTACTCGCCAAGCCCGCCGTCCGTATCGAAGCAGGCGTGTATCACGTCCCCGGCCGACTTCCACGTCGTCCGCAGGTCGCCGTTGGGGTTCAGCCACGTCGTGATCGGCGCCAGCAGCGGAAATAAGAAGTTCATAAGAAAAATTCGCACGAACCAGCCGCTGCGTCGCGATATACCGCTTGTCATCGCCGCCGGGTCCAGGCCGAGCACCGCGACTTTGGAGAGAGCTGGGTCTTGCGATATGCGTCGCGCTAGCTCACGCCTTGGGTGGATAGTATTAGTCTTTGTCTTTGTTGGGGCAAGGGTACCAAGATAGATACTCACATCATCATGACCTCGCACAGTTTCGAGGCTCCGTACCGCCTCATACCGACACAAACATCTTGCTCCTCTGTGCTCCCAGACTCAACTCCCCACTTGCCCTTAGCAATAGCTTCGGTACTACCATCGGGGCTGTTGAATATCCAATGAAACTCTTCGGGAACATAACTATTCGCAAATGGCCCTACGTTATTCCTTGGATCGGTGGTGCTGGAGTGGATTAACTTTGGGTTTCGCAATATAATTGGTAAGAGTAGGTAGAGGTCTAACGTATGTTGATGGAAGGGGAGGAAGAGGAGGGGTGAGTGATAGTACTTACTCATGTGACCAGCTACCTAGGACAAGTATGCGTCCTTTCTCCTTGTCCATGCTCTGTAGTAATAAGAGCGTCAAGAGGAAATGTGAGAGGTAACTGGCTTGGAAGGACATATCGAAGCCATCCTTGCTGAAGTCGTGATGGCCATGCTCCTGATATGCCGCAGATAGCACTAGGGCACGGATAGGAGGTATCTCGCCCTTTGAGACTCGCGAGTTGATGTCTGCGGCGACCTGGCGTACGCTGGCGAGGCTTGCCAGGTCAAGAGGAACAAGGTCGTATTTGTGATCCGCCTTGCTGGCGTTCTTCAGAACGCTCTTCACAGCATCAGCGCTCTCAACTTTACGTACCGTGTATAATCCGTGGTATTCCTGAGCAAGTGACGGCCGATGTAAGATCTGGTCAACAATAGCAGAGCCCAAGCCGCCATTGGTACCGGTAACTAGAATCGTGCCTTTGGCCATCGCTTGGTCTAAGTATGGTAGTCAACACAACTGCTAGAGAAATAGAAACCTGAAAGGACTACGCGAATAGAAAAATCGAGTTGTCTTTGACCCAGCTGCCACATTATTTTATATATGACATTTAAGCCCGTTTATCTCCAGGAGAACGGGGCACATAGGCTGATCTTGCATGCGTATGCATGGTAGCTGCTCTTCACTACGGATATGATGACAAGGTTACAGCGAACTTTCGTCTCCAAACGTACTCGGTAGCTTTTCCGCACCGTCGTTGCCTAGAGTACTTGAGATGCCGCTCACGCGAGCGTGGATTAATAATACTACTTCTCTGTAAAATCGGGTTTAAGGTCACTGGAGATTAGGTACCTTGTAACTATATGCATGTTTTCATATAAGAATCACTGTAATAGTTGTTGATGATCTACTGATGAGGTATGGGTTAAGTATAAGTACTACTCACACAAAAAGTGCAAAGGGAAAAAGAAAAAGAAAAAGGCAAGAACTAACGTCAAGTAATAAGTTAATCTTTATGACGCAACAAGCACCTTACAAGATACCTGACGTTAGGTAATGCAATGCAAGTAAAAAGTTTAAAAAACAATTGAGGAAAAAAAAAGAAAAAAAGAAAGGATCCCTCGGGCCGGAATCGAACCAGCGACATTTCGGTAACAATTTATACAATTACAGCCGAACGCCATAACCAACTAGACCACCAAGGGGGTGGGGTTTGAATGCTTGCTCTGAGAGGAAGTGGACTTCCTCCCGAGGGACAGCTGTTGACAAAACGGTCTGTTATTCGGCTTTATATTGCAAGTAGTGTGTGCGGCTTTTTTTTTTCTTTTTTTTCTTTGGTTGTTCGTTTGCCAGTGTTTAGCCGCCGCTTGCAACCCCACTCCATTCAAGATTTGGATTAGTGTATTGATGTTTGTGCAGTGTGCAGTGTGCACAAGTTGAAGTCAGTACCTAAGGTACGTACCAGATATGCATGATGCACAGTGCACGGACAAAAATCCGTAAGGAAGTGTGCACGGTCCATGTACCGATACGTACCTACCTAGCGTTGATTGCTTAGGTAAAAGGTCATGTTTGATTCTGTGATTCTAAAGGCAGGTACACTAATAAAAAAAATGAATGTGATTTCACTTTAATCGTTTTGATCTGATCTGATCTGATTTAATCGCCATTTCTGGCCTAGATAGGCACCAAGTACCTAGGCACCCGCGCCGATTTATTGATCTTCAAATGGATGATTTTAATCATGATCTAGGTATGTACCTAGGTACTCCACCGTCCTAGGTAACCCCTTACTCCTTACAATCAAATCAAGGTGGACACACAAAATCAGAAAGCCACATGCAGTTAGAGTCACGTAGTATTTGTACCATGTGTTTTAGGGAAACAAATGTGTTTATTTGATATGCTACAGGTGCTATGCTTTCTACTTTGGTAAACAGATAACTATACCCATACGCTAAGTACGTATATAGGGGGTAGAAAAGGAAAGGGTAAAAACAAAATGGCCATGGGGATATATCTAAGAACTTATGAGGATATGGGTTTTTAGGACGAACATCGCTTCAGGGAAACCAGATCAACGGTGACTCCAATCCTACTTGACTTGCGTGCCGTTCAACACATAGGACCTCGAAATATCCGTAGATTCCCCTATTCCTGGCCAGCTTACGCATCTACATACGTATCATTAACATCGTTGGTCTTTCTCTCCATGTCTGAGCAGTAGATAGAAGCGCAAGAAATCATGCCTATATCTCTTCCATCCTACCTAGAATAAGCACGAAGAACAGTCGGAACGAGCAGATCTATAAGTCCAATGCTTATATCCGCTTCCGGCGATCTTTTCTGGGCTTACGATCGCCGTCACTCTTTTTAGAGCTCTTATCCGAACTCTTCTGGGATGTCTCTCTTAGGTTATCAAACACGTAGTCGAAGGGGTTGGATTGCTCTTCGCCCGCTCCAGGGGTGAAGATCACGGCAACCCTTCGGGACGAAGGGACTGCTGGTATACTAGAGCGCTTACGCTGCCGCTCGTTAGCTGAATCGGAATACCGCTTGTTGACCGCAGCCTCCTCCTCGTGATGCGCTAGGCGATCGAACAGGTAGTCGTCGTTTTCCGTATTATACGTAAATCCGTCTAAGGCCAGCTGTAGGTCGTGAAGGTCTTTTTCAATGTCTGCGGTATTGCCGGAGTTAACTAGCATGGAAAGCACGGAGGGAGAGACGGGGGATTTGGGCCGCGGTTCTCTCGGGTCCAATGATGGCGGTACTAACCCAGCATTACCGTCTGACCTAGACTCGCTCGAGGACGCCTCCGCGTGTGGCTGGCGCAAAGCTCGGATACGCTCGGAGTAGGGAACACGATTGTCGCCTGTCAAAACCGCCTTGCGAAGAGTTTCAGAATGTGTGCTCTCCGATTTCTTGCTCGGCTGAGAGCCGGACGAAGAAGATTTACCGCTGCGAGGCATGATGAACAGAGAGCTTTGATAGGCTGTGCGACAATATTGGCTATTAGCAGCAAATTTTGAGGACGGACTTACTACGCTCAAGTCTCGATAGGGAACGATACTTCAGAAACCTTGACACCTTAACACCTTGACATATTGACATCCAGGAGTGAAGTAGGTGTGTCGCCAGGCTTATATTCCTCCCAGGGACAATGTAGATGCTCTACTGCAGGCTATTCGAGTTTCCTTAGATCGTATTGTACACATTGTACATATCTATTGTTCTTACCGAACCCCTTTGTTCGCCGGGACACAATTTGATTGATGAACTACCTGCTAACCACTAATTCTTTTCCCCAAAACACAATCAGATGCATTCTTTATCCAAGCCATCTGGAACGCGGGTCATGTGTTCTTCCGTGATTTCATCTACATGATCAATATCATATGTCCCCTGCTTAGGAGCCCATTGTTCCTTAATTAAGTCAAATCACTAATTTTATTATACCGCCATGAGAACTATTAACTTTGATTTAATACATACTCTCTTTGTCTAGCTCCGTAAATTAATTATTAATTATTATTTAGTTAGTAAGGGATGGAATCTTTTGATATCAAGAATATGGATGAATGACAAGCAATAATGTTTTATCTAATATAATTATCCTCAAGTCTAAAAAAATTCAACATATAATTCCGGCCAATAGAAAAACAAACCCCTGATCATTTATTATTAAGTAAAAAACCAAATCAACCAGGATTGGTTTAGTATAAGAGACTTTAGGTTTGATTCTCATGTTCCGGCCCCTCCCGGAACCCTCCGGATTCAACTGACCTCTTCCAGGCCCGGCCACGGGGGCTACCCTATCCCGAAACCCCGTAAAACAGGCTCCAATATTTTGATTGCCCCGGGGGTACCCTCTCCTACTAGACCTAATATGGCGGGTTTGATCCTAAGTCCATGTGAAATACCTATTCTGATTATAATTGGTTGGGCCTATGAGATTCCACGATCTCGACTTTCCCATACCCCTCTTGCCTTTTCACTATTTAATAATACTGTGACACCTACTGAATGTTCTAGGAATACAGTCTGATCTGATCCTGCCTTTACTGATTGTGTTCCGGGACATTTGTCTATATAAGAATTCCCACTCCTCTAGAAATCTTCTCCCATCCTCTTCCAACACAAAGTCACAACATCATGCTCAATCACTCTGTGACCCTTAAACATACATATTTCCTTACCATCCTTCCACTTGGTCATCACTTTACTTGACCAGTGTTTTACTTGATCATCATTTTTACTTGATGAACCTTTTACTTTATCATAGTTCAACCTAATCATCTTTCTTTTTTATCAAGTTAATACCCTTCTCATCAACATTAGAAACCATAATCTCTTGACCACCATTCAATCGAACATATTCGTGATCGAAAGACTCGCCAATATGTGTTTCAGCTGTAAGTATCTCTACGTGTTTCATCCCTAACCCTCTGTTCTATGGCTGCAACTGTTGATATATTCTCCTACTTTGGCTTGTGTTTACCTGTTATGATCTGCCTTGCCTTACCCTACTCATCATACCCTACCCTTACCTTACCTTCCTTTGCCCTTACCTGATATACTTCACGCCAACCCCCATCATCCTGCATGTCTGCCATACTACACAAGTAACACAGTTTTATCCCGTCACAAACCCCTCCTGTTATCGTCTTCATCATATATTGCTGCGGCTATGATCATTATGCTTCTACACCATCACTACCATCATCACTATTATGTCTTCTCTCATTCGCCATCCATCAAATCATATACTCTCTTCTCCCATGTTCCTTCCTCAGAGCCCTCATTCGTCGTGACGCCGAAATGCTCGCTGTCTTGCTATCTCGTTCTTCTTCGTTACCTACTAATACCTGCCTCTTTCCCAGGCTTGTCTCACAATGCATCTGGTGCAAACGCGACTGAATATGACAAGGATATGTTGGACCGATGGATCACACGTTCCAAATACGGTAAGTCAACCCCACCCTCTGGCTACCGGCGGTTCTCGTTACCCAGAATACATTCACTGTCTGCCCCATAGATGAATGAGAGGATGGCCCTGACTTACTTTACTACCGACTATGTGATCCCGGGATGTGACTGTGGTAACCATGCTATGCTGTTGTTCTTCACCACTGCTAACCATATTCATCTTTTTCTTAGACTGCCCCCCTGTCATGAGCCAGAAGCCAGCCAACCCTTTCCATAAGCTACCTGTAGAGGTCATATGCAAGATCTATGCCAACCTGGACCGTTTGCGATATTGCCGCCATGCAGCAGCCACGTGCAAGCAAGCCCGCGCGATCCTACACCTCAACGAGCCTCTCATCGCGCGCGAGTGGTTGCAGATGGTCCTGCCCCGTTCCTACTGGCGCCTCGGAGTCATGACCATCGCCTCCGCCAACTACGGCAAATCCACGGCGGGCGACTTCATAGAGGCGTACATGTCGAGTGAGCGCGAGTTCCCGGAGCCGCACTACGGGCTGAGCGACGTCGCTAACCTGAAGCGCTTCGTGGACGATGTGGAAGGCGTGATGGAGATGAAGGTCTGCGTTGATATGATGGGATTTGCCGAGTCATCGCCCTCCGGCTCGAACTTCTACTCCGGCCGCTTCCCCAACGGCTCCGCGACCGGATCGAAGACGGAGTTGCTCCGCGCGATGCGAGCGTGCTTAATGATCGAGATAGCGCGCAATCTGTTCTATAATTCGGACGGAGACGAGGACCCGGCTAAGACGGCCGCGGCGGAGGGACGCCAGGAAGTGGACTGGCACAAGAAGTATTGGACGTCCTTCTCCAGTATTGAAGTGAATTCCGCGAGCCTGATGGCCGATTGTTACGAGACGATTCTGTTTAATAGTGAGATTACCACGTGTAGCCCCCCGTGAGAGAGTTAACGTATACTGACAAGGAACCAATAGCATTCAAAAATTGCGCCATGGAGAATTCCTTTGTCACTGGCCGAGAGGAAGACTACGAATATTTTTGCAGCAACAATCCCGGTGCCAGAATATTCTCGTTGAAAACCGGATTGGCCCGGTTACGGGACTGGCATTATGCTATTCTCGAGTACCACAGCACGCGAAATGACACTCGAAAGAAGATCCCAAAGGCAGTTCTAAAGGGTGACCCCCACACGGCATGCCCCGAATTTATACAGCTAGTGAGAGGGGGCAATTATTACGACCCTTTTGAGAATCTTCTGAAAGACGAGGAGACTCAGTTTGCCGAGACTTCGTTCCACCCGGACCCGAAGGCGATCGACCAGGCTACTTGGAACACGATCCTGACGTTGTGGCGAGGCAAACGAATTGAGAAGTACTACGACCAAGAGGACGACAAGGTCTACTTCACATGCCAGGGACTCTGGGATGACTCTACCCTTCAGCGCTGGGAGGCCCAGGATGAGGATGATAAGAGCTGGAGACCGCAGGGCGAGCCGGAGGATGACGTGGAGGTAGGGGATTTCGATAGCGAATTTTCATCTGGTTATGAGGATGAGGACACCTTCAAAACCCCCAAGCAATATGAGCGCTCTCTTGATCTAAGAGAGGAGTTATATCCCATCTGGAAGGAGGAATGGGCTTGCGATGTGTCCTACAGAGACTTTGCAAGTACCCAACGATATGAGCGAAAGCTGGCGCGATCGGGAATGGGATTGGATGATGGTTGGATCCCAAGTAGCGACGACGAAGCAGACGACGAAGAAGAGGAAGATGAACGCGAAGAAGAGAATGAGGAGGATAATGAAGAGAACAACGAAGAGGATGATGAGGAGGCCAACGAGGAGGAAAATGAAAAGGATAACAAAGAAGACAACAAAGAGTAATGAGGATAGGGATGAGAATATCTGCCGATTGAGAAGGCTCCGTCCGGGTTAGGAATAACGTGTATGATGAGAGGGCCTTATGATGAAAAAAGGAGGCTCACGATGAGAAAGGCTTAATGATGAGAGAGGCCTACAATGAGAAAGGCTTACGATGAGAAGGAATGGTTTATGATGAAAAACGAGGCTCGAGTTAAGAGAGCTCGCATGACAGCCTATGAGCCAGTCTTATGAGTTACGCAGAGAGGAACGACTACAGACGGAATGAGTTGAGTTGAGTTCGGATTGCGCTGAGCAAGGAATGCGTTGAGTTGCCAACCCATGGCCCTTTTTTCATTGTCCTAAGAGGAGGACTGCATGCGATTTCGGACTGCTTTTAACTAACATACCTTGCTCTTGCCTACTCACCGTCGTGGCCTCACATGGCATCTTCACATGGTACCTTCCATTGCAAAGGAGGAATTGCGTTGTTCTGTTGCTCTGTAAGATAGAAAGTCAGTGGATTTTTAATGCCCTTGAGCTTTTGTGCGTTTCATTTCTTCAGTAGGTAAGTTTATTGATAGTTCAGATAGCCCACTGCAATTGATGCAATGATCATAATAATGTGACAACCCAAAAAAGAAAAATATAATAATAACAATAATAACGCCGTAGAAATAAGTAATAAGCCCATAAGGTAGCAAAAAATGAAGAAATGCAAAAGAATAATGTCTCCGGTACGGGGAATCGAACCCCGAGCTCCTCGGTGAAAACGAGGTATGTTAGCCGTTACACTATACCGGACTGGTTGACTTGCGTGGTTTTTCGCTTCGATACTTTAGATTATATTGATAGCTTCGGTTGGGTAAGCTAGCAATTGGCTTATCTGCTAGCATAGCGTCCTACCAACACCATCTTAGTTGGTGAAAAGCACCCGTGAGCAGTCACTCAGTCACTCATTCATTCGAGGGCTGAACAAAGTCTTACATGTGAAAAAAATGCCTATGCACTTAGTTGGATATTGGCGATTATTCAATGTGTAACACGATTATTAAATTGAAATTGAAGCTATCATGTAAGTCTTAGATGCTATAATCGGCATCTTCGCAATAAATGCTTCCATTTTCAAGTATTATCTTGGGAGGTAACCAATTTACCAAGTTCTTCATATACCACCATACCTCTCATTTCCCCTTTTAATTATTTCATCGAGAAGACATCTCATCGGGCGCGAAGTCACTGGTCTGTAGGTATATACCGCGCATAGCCAACCCCAATCCCAAACTCATACCTTTTCCTTACAATACATTAACCTTAAGACATACGAAGAAAACCCTTATCCGAAAAAAACCACCACATTGATACAAACCATAACCCCCTCTCCCTCCCCTCTCACCACTCACTCACTCCCACCTCCCTTCTCAAAACCATATATATATACCCATCCACCATCCACCATTCACGGCACCATCTTCGCCCCCCTCCGACCCCCGAACCTATCCTTCCTCTCCCCCTCCCCCTTCACCTTCTCCTTCCCCACCTCATCCACCACCTTCCCCATCCCCGCATACGACGGGGTCAGCGTCGCCCCGCCCTCCCTACCAGTCAGGTAGAACGTGACGGCGAGTGCGAACACCAGGATCGCCATCCAGACGGCGATGAGCTGCGCCGAGCGCTTCGGCCGCGGGCCGTAGGGCGAGTAGAACTTGGGCATCCGGGCCATGGTTTTTTTTTTGAAGAAAAAGAAAAAGTCTGTATAATTGTTGTGCTGTGCTGTGCTGTGCTGGGTGATATGGCAAATATGTTGGGTTCTAAGCATGTATTTGTGCAAATAGGGCATATGAGTGAGTGAGTGCATGTAGGTTAGGTAGAGGTGGGCTGGGTAGCTTAAAGGGAGCTCGAGGCCGATCCCTAGGGAGAATTATGTCATAGCCCCTTAGTCAGCATGTACCGTTTGTCCCCTTACCATCCCTGAGATTTGAAGCTTTACGCTCACGTACTTATCATATAACAGTCTAGGTTCTCATAGACTTATCAAGAAGCTATTCATTATTCCAAAAATGTCATTACTTATATTCGGGTCATGCTGTAAATCACAAGCGCCCATTTGGGGGGCATTTTTAGTAAAAGAGGTGTCAGGAGGCTCATATGATATATATTAGATCTATCACTCTCATCCTGTGTCCTGTGTCTTCATAATCAAGTAGTAGTTAATTCCGCCTTCCCCGTTCAAGTTCCCATATTAACGCTTCCTAACTCCCTAAGAACGCCAGCCCGTATTCATTAAAAAGCATCATAGTTGTATACTCGCACCAATCCCTTTACCTTGGTACCACAACGATTCCCTCCAGTTCCCCAGTCGCATCTCTACGGTGGCGTGTGCGTCTAGTTTCAGTTTACCGCCAATCGCTTTCCTTACGGCGTCGTAGCCAACCGAGTCTAGGGACCATGCAACTGGTAGTTTCGGCGTTTGGGACTTGCCAGGTGGTGCCGAAAACGGCAAATCATACACGATCTGTCCTATCGGCTCGGTGTGGTTATATAGCGCCGTGGCGTTGACAAAATCTAGGTATAACGTGTTGTACTGTAGCGGTGATACAAGAGTAAATGTGGCTGTTGACGAAAAGAAGTGGAAAGTCGCGTCTCGTATAAAGTGAGATTTTTCTTCGGCGGTATCTCCAGGTAAATTTAGCTTCGGGGCGGCAAGTGTCATGTTAAATTTCGATAAGGCTTCGCATAAGATGGGCTGGCCTGGAATGCTGTTTCGATGCGGTTTTACAGTAATGCTCGTATTCCAGCCCGACAAGTACTGCGATATTAGTTCCCGCCCGACTTTTCGACCGTGGGCGCCACCCATTGGTGGATTCCATTTTGCGGTGACAAGTATATCGGAGTTGGGACCTTTGTCAATACTTAGATTCTCTACTGTAGCGCTTCCGATAATAGAATCATTGCTCAGAACGTGAATGTTCACATATGGCACATGAGCTGTATAAAGCGTAGGATTGGTAACATTGATCAAGGCTTGCAACGTTATCGAGTCTGATGTCGTGTCCAAAATCCTGAGGGATCCGACCTTGGGTTCGATACTGCCGATGGCACCCTTAGGAAGGGCTGAGGGTCAGTTAGCACATGCTATCATGTATAGGATGGGTGGAAGGGCAAGGAATTGCACCTCTAGGAACGAGCCGCCCTACTAGACGGACTAGGTGAGAGCGACTAACAGATTAGGATAACGAAGACGGACGTTTTACTGGAATTTTGCCCTCCGCAGGAACCTCCTTTAAAACCAGGTCTCCTAGCGTGGTTTGCACTCTGATATCGACCAGAGCGTCAACATGTAGACGGACCGGCTCAGTGCCAAATAATAACGCACTGATCACTTCCGCGAAGACCGCGCTATCGGTAATGTTAAGGGGCGCGTCGACGACGCGGGACTGGATTTTGAGCATAGGCCCTTCGTCTCCTTTGCCTTCGACCCTAGTAGAATTCGCATGCTGCCATTCTCGCAGATTTAATTCTCCCATTTTATGCGACTTGTAAAGCACATCCGCCGTAGCACGCACGTTTGTCACATTTATACCAAAGTTCATTTCGGAAGGGATGCTTGCGGTAACTAAAATAGTCCCCGAAACCGTCGGGTTAGAGTCTGGAGCGTCGGGGTCAGGTAGAGCAAAGTTAACATCAGTTAAGGAAAAATTCCTCAGTAGACCGTCTAAGGTACGCCCAGGAAACGGGACAGGTACTGTTACGCTAGATAGTATATCTGCAACCCACTTCGGCGTGTCCCCATCCGGATGACGGCTCCCACGGACGAATAATGTAGCAGGATCGCCATGCATATACTGTCGAAGAATTTTATCCAAAGGTGAGGAAGTAGAATCGGGGCAAACGTGGGTTAAAGAATCAGGTAATTCGCGAATAACTCCTTTAACGTCAACAACGACATCAGATCGTGGTTCCAAACGAACCTCGCTTGTTGCCGCTTCTGCTACTAGGATGAAGGGATCTGAACTAGCGCAACCGGGTACTAAGATATCAAAAGCGAGCTCGGGAATATTAAGCCCAACTGGATATTCGTTGAACGCGGTCAAGGATACATCGGCAAGCATAGACCCCTTCATCGGGCCATCATCGACTTTAAAACGAGTAATGTTATATTTGGGTACCGCGGGAACCTTGTTAGCTGCTCAGAAAATTAGTATATTGTTTAAATATAGGTAATTATATGCGTAGCTTTATCTTGATATGCTAGAATAAGGATTTCTTCCCAAAGTAGAGGGAAGCAAAGGAACGGTAGAGTGATTGACCTTCAAATACAATCGATTCCGAGATGGCATGCGTCCCCAGAGGAACAATTCCAGATTTGAGACTAAGATCAGCCTGTCCGTTCAGGCGCAGCTTGTCCAATCTGCCTTCGAACAATTCGTTCGCAATTATGCGAATGCCTTCCGGGTCGCCTGGTATTATATCCGTGACGATGTCAAACTTTGTTACGTCACCCTCCCGCAAGTTGATCAATAGAGGCGGAACGATTGCGCTTCCCAATAGCACGTTGTTATATTTCGGAATGCGCACATCGACCCTTGTCTGCTCGCTTTCAAGTTGAGCTGCGACCCACGTAACGGCTCTTCCTACTCTTCGTACGTGATCACTACTAACTCTAGAGCCATCTAGATGAAAATTGGCCTGCACCCGAGCCCGAACACCGTCCTTGGTAATGGATTCGAGGGTGAGATTGGTGGGTTCAATAACGGCGGCTTGCTGAGCATACTCTTGCACGGCTTGAGGAACGACAAATGCAAGAACAATGATCGCGATAATGCTCCCCGCCAATATAAACATGGCAATAAACGATGCCCATCTCCTAGAATTCTTAGTCGAACTGGAAGCGGGGGACGTATCGGTGGGCTGGGCTGGACTCGAATCGTTATTGTCTCCATCATGCTCATCTTCTTCTCCATCGTAACGTGGCGTTGCTGAGGAGCTCGAGAGGAGGGGGGTCGACTCGCTGGAATCAGGTTGATTGCGAACCCTTGATTTCCCCTTTGACGCGGCCGAAAGCAACGGCGATGCTTCGTCTTCCGACATGACGACGATTTAAACGAGATTAAATGGATCGCTTTCTAAATGATAGATCAATTGCGGATAATGAAGAACTACCAACTAGCAGGATGATGTAGGCATCGTCGAACCTAGAAATAGGTAGTGAAAAGTTTGAGATCTGATGAAATAAGAATTATGATGAATTGTAATGAGTACAGTTAATAGATGTACTAAGGAATGTTAATGAGCATTAAAGGTTGAATAAGGTTATGGATGGATATAACATAGGAAGGCGTGGCGCAAGTCGTGGGTCGTCATCAACTGAACACATGCACCCTGACAACTTGGTGACCCACACTAGCTGAAACGAGGCGTTCCGGGCGTTCTGCTGGGAAGGCACTATGCCACTTGAACCTTTCCAGCCGTTAGAGGGCCGGAGAAAGCTTGCTGGCTTGCAGGACACACCTGCAGGGGTATACCTACCTAAGGTACCTAAGACAGGTACCGCACATCCTCCCGAGAACGACCAGCTGTCGGACACCTGAACCGGCCTACTATTGACTGTTAAATCTACTACCTCAAACCTATTACTATGTAATTTATGTCATCGCCTAATGTACAATACCTAGATAGCACTAGAATCTCCACAAAGTGCATTGGTGTCACGACGAAGGCCGGGTTCAATTGTGACTCTTTTAATTGTGACCCCCCATATAAAAGGTTAATAGTCAACAGGATATTCGAACATACCTATATATCTCTACTTGAACTCCGAAGCACATCAAGTCACCGCAAAAATGCTACAATCATCAATGCTTCCGTTAAAACTGGTAAGGAGATCCTCCACACTAGTTCGGCATCTTATGTCAATCAGCGATTTATCGTCTACCGAACTGTCAACGCTGGTGCGGAATGCGGCAAATCACAAAAAGGCCGCGAGAAATAAAATTATTCCCCATGACCTGACTCTAAGCTTAAGGGGGCAAACGGTGGCTATGATGTTCAGCAAGCTGAGCACTCGCACGCGAGTTTCAACAGAAGCTGCCGTAACTATGCTAGGAGGTCATCCTATGTTCCTCGGGAAAAATGATATCCAATTAGGAGTAAGTCTATTCGAGGCATTTTTAGAATCAGTTGAGGCAAATAATTAACCTGGTAGTTCTCTAGGTAAACGAGTCACTGAAGGATACGTCTAAGGTTATTTCATCTATGACATCCGCCATCGTAGCTCGTGTTGGGCCTCACAGTGATATCACAGACTTGGCCAAGTATTCGAGCGTTCCGGTTATTAATGCGCTATCTAATGATTTCCACCCCCTGCAAATCATTGCTGACTTCCTTACCATCCATGAGTCACTGACAAAGGTTGGGGATAATCTCCTCGTACCAAAGGGATTGAAAGTTGCCTGGGTTGGAGACGCAAACAACGTATTATTCGACTTCGCTATCGCCTGCGTGAAGCTGGGCGTTGAAATCTCAGTTGCGACACCTCCTGGTTACGGCATTCCACAAGACAAGGTAGATCTGATCACGAGTCAAGCCAACACCACGTCGATACCCGGCGTTCTAAACCAGACCCATGTTCCGGAGGAGGCCGTGAAGGATGCCGATATCATAGTAACCGATACTTGGGTTTCCATGGGCCAAGAAGAAGAGACCCAGAAGCGACTGAAAGATTTTGCCGGCTTCCAGGTCAGCACCGAACTAGCTAAGAGGGGCGGAGCCAAGCCGGACTGGAAATTCATGCATTGCTTACCCCGTCATTCCGAGGAGGTCACCGATGAGGTTTTCTACTCTCCCCGGTCCCTTGTCTTCCCCGAAGCAGAGAATAGGCTTTGGGCAGCTATCTGTACGTTATGCCTCCTTCTAAACTTGTCTATGCCGATGCTGATTCATATATAGCGGCAATTGAAGCCTTCGTCGTGAACAAAGGGAAAATATCCTCATCAACTTAGAATAAGTTCGGAAATGATCGTCAACTAGTACGGGGCGAGAAAGCTAATAAGGGTAAATCCACTGGCGTTGTTTTACGGGAGCTTGATCTGTCAGCTCTGGAGTAAATGGCATGGTGTTTAAAATGCTTTCTAGCTTGATAGATTTATCACTTACGAATGGCAGGGTCAAAAAAAGGGGGGATTACAATGAGAAGGCTTCATTCAGCCTTTGCATAGTATGATTTATGTAGCTCACGCCTAGTGACTTATGTTTACAATGTAATAATGACAATCAAAGCAAGCTAGTATTTTTTTTGCTGACCACTAACGCCTAACCTCTACTTGAACCGCAGCTTATCCGGGTGGTAGCTGGCTGGCGTCCACAATCTCATCTGCCTCTTTAACAATGGTCTCCTCATCAGGGCCATATAGAGGGGATCGAGGCAATGCCATAAGACCAGTCCGAGACGATTCTAGAATTCCGAACGGAGCAATCAGTTTTAGGAATGAATCAATCCTAACCGGTTTGGCAGACCTACGAACGATTAGTACGGATCATAGTAATTATAGTAAGTAGATGGAATCACTTACACTTCAACGATACAGCTACTTGTGCTAATATCTAAAACCTTGCCTCCAAACTGGTGTGCGAAGTAAGTGATAGACTTGAGATGCTCATGCTTGAGTCTCAGGGCTTGACTGGCTACCATCTTACTCGGATGGAAGTCTTGGGCAGTGTCCTCCAAGGTCTTATCGCCTGCCTCCAGTGCGTCGGCCTCGGCCGTCATTTCGCGGTGATGCGCTAGCAACTCCTCGAAGTATTCCGGCCCCAAGATATTAACCTTGGCAAGCAGCAATTCTCTTTGGACTAGAGCAGAGTTTGTGTAGTCTAGAACAGCCCAAACGGGTACTAGGTCCTCTAATTGCCGTCGCGCCTGTTCGACCACACCGTCTTGTCCCGTAAGGACAATTGTCATACGGGAGAGGTCTTCCACTTCGGTGCTGCACACGACCAGAGAGTCGATGTTGAAACCACGCGCTGCCAGAATACCAGAAACTCGGGACAAGACACCGGGCTCATTTTGAACCAAGCAGTTGAGAATATGACGTTTCGGCGGGGCCATCGAGGGTGTTGGGGTTTCGTAGAGAATATTGGAGACGGCTGCTTGCGCAGACCATGATGACGGTGTGTCGTTGGTAGGGAGAGGAGCTTGACGGCGACGAAGAGCTTTGTATGCGATGGCAGAAGTAGAACTGCTACTCGAGCTCCATCTTGAAGAAGTCTGGGGAATGGCTCGTACGCTCGCGGCGATAGCCTTGAAGCAATTGGCTTGAACAAGTGTACGGGACGCCATGGTTTTTTTCTGACCGTAAACGAGAACTCGAAAAGCTCTCTGATCAGAAATGGCAGTCCTCGAAACCTGACAAGAGTTCTGACGGGGGCTCAATTGGTAAAAGTTTCTACCAACTTGACTCACCACTTAGAGAGAGATGGAAAATTGTGGCTAGGGATTAGTATAAGTATAAAATTGCCCATGGAATAAAAATGTTTGGGTTCAATGACCGAAATGGTCCAGGTTAGCTCCGAATCCCGGAGCTTTGTTTTGTTGCCCCATAAATTCATGCATCTTTTTTATCTTTTCTATCTTTTGGAGTTTTTAGCGTCTTTAACCCCACCACCCTGCCACCTTCACCTTGGGACCCACCTGCGCGGCCCAGACTTCTGGGTATCGGATTATGTATTATTCCCTTTCCCGTCGCGTGTTGCTCTTTCCCGTCCCGGTTCCCTTCTTACGGATTCCGTCTAGTTCAAACATTGAGCTAAGTGGAAATCTCGAGAATTACTTGCCTGTAACTTATTCAACCTTAATTTTTTAAACTCTACCTACCTAGGTACCCATCCATCCTTTCGTTTTCAACGTCAATTCCTGCATTGCGCAGCCCTTAAAAAACGTCTGCGCATAATCCCATCGCAGGCTTCTGTCAATTTTGACACCGGATATTATCTAACTTTTTTTTTTCGACTGTCGCGACATTTAGTAAATAAAAATGGACGACACGGAACGACGCACCGCAAAACGATCTCGGTTCGATCAGACCGAACCCGAACCGCGCCGCTCTCGATTTGATCGTAGGTCGCGTTCCCCACCAGCGAAGAGATCTGATCATGGTCGCGATGGTCGTGAACGTAGTCCGTTGGGTAAGGATGGAGAGAACAACACGCATAGCTCTAAGAAGAGTCCCATCGACCCAGCAGCAGCAGCAGGTATGTTATTCATTCCCGCGTTATAGATTCGTAACCCTTTCAAACTAACTAGGTACCTACCTATCTTTAGCTGCCGCCGCCGCTAAGATCAATGCGCAAATCCAGGCGAAGAAGGGTATCCAGCACGTGGATGTACCCCCCATCAAGTCAACATCTTCAGCGTCTCCCGGTCCGAACGCCCCGAGCACCCCCGGCGGAAACAATTCCAACAATATAAATGGTGAGATGTATATTGCCGACGGCGACTATATCAAGGATATCGAAGTAAACGACCTGCGAAACCGATACCTGCTCACGAAGAGTTCTACACAGAAGATGGTAAATAATACCCTTGGTTAATTCCTACTGATTTGCAGAGTTTCCAGCCCTAGCTTGGTGGTTCATTCCCAGTGTTATATACTATCGTGTGCGAAGAGTTCTGCTTACATGGAAGCGTGCTAGCTCGCACACGAATCCCATCTGTGGCATCTGCTGACCTCCGCTGCTTGATTTAGATTAAAGAAGAAACCGGAGCTGGTACGAGAAACCTCCTAGCTGTTTATTGATTTAATGTAGAACCATGGTTGACTTTGAAAGATGTCACGACACGAGGCAATTACTACCCGGATAAGAGCATGGCGACGCCATCGGTGAGAAATATCTCGATCAGCTTGAAGAAAGCTCCAGGGACTAACGCTATTATAGAACCCCCCACTGTACCTCCACATCACCAGCACGTCCAAGACGGGACTCGAAGCTGCTGTTGCTAAGATCGAGGAATTGATGAAGCAAGAACTCCCGAATCTGGTTGACGAGCGACGATTCCGACGTCGAGACCAAGAACAGGTGGAACGTGACGAGTTTGGACGGGTCAGCCAATTTTACTTGTTCTATAACAGACATGTACTAACGTCAAGCAGCGTAAATGGCCGGAGGCGAAGATCCCGATTGGCCTCGAAGAGATCCGTGGTTTTAACCTCAGGGCTCAGATCGTCGGGCATGGTGGTTCCTACGTGAAGCATATCCAGCAAGAGACCGGATGTCGTGTCCAGATCAAAGGGCGAGGGTCAGGCTATCTTGAGGCTTCAACTAACCGTGAAAGCGATGATGACATGTACCTCCATGTTGCGTAAGTATATGGTGGGCGCTTCCTTATTTTGGTTTCTAACAATATCTAGTGGTCCCGATCCTAAGATGGTCGAGAAAGCCAAGGAGTTATGTGAAGACTTGATCGCGAACGTAAAAGAACAGTATGAGGAGTTCAAGAGCCGACCTCCACGTCAGCATTTTGGTGGCCACGGTGGCCACGGTGGTCATGGTGGTAATTACGGCGAGAGGTCTTATGGTGATCGATCTTACGGCGGTGACAGATATGGTGATAGACAAGGAAGTGGTTCGGGCTCCTACGGTGGATACGGTGGTTACAATAATTCACCCAATCCTGCCGCAAGCTCGGCCTCCCCTGCACCTCCAGCTCAAGGCAGCCCACAGAACGCTAACAGCGATTATGCTGCCCAATACGCGCAGTATTACGGTGGTCAAGACCCCTATGCGGCATATGGTGGTTACGCAGCGTAAGTAATGTAATGTAACCACGAAAGGATGCGAGATCGCTGACGCCATTCCAGATATGTGCAATATTATCAACACTATTATGCCGCTGCGCAAGCCGCTCAGCAAGGTTCACCAACGCCGCCAGTTCCTGGTGCTTCCGTTACCCCTCCACCTCCTCCGCCCAGCGAAGCCCCTCCGCCGCCGCCTCCCGGAGGATCTGCACCACCACCTCCTCCTCCTCCGCCACCAGGTGCAGGAAGTTACGGTGCAGTAAGTAATGTTATATAGAGAATTGACTAAAAGCAAGCTAACTGGTGGTATATAGGTCCCTCCTCCCCCTGGATTATAATCAAGACTTGATCTTGGAGATGCATAGGACATGACATACCTTCTCTATTTTATCAAAGGGGATTCGTAGTATTAAAAGAGATAATAAGATATTTGAGGAACGCGATCGCATGGGCTGAATCAAGTCATGGTTATGGGGTGTACGGCTTTGTCAGAGGTAGCTCGCCCCGCACATCAGTCTAGGTAGTACCATTTGATATTGGTTTTTGCTGAGCAGCATAGGTATTATATTTGTTGAGCCGGTATCCATCCGAGTTACCTAAAGCCATAGCTGTATGTGTTATACCACCTGCTTACCTAATGTAATTTAGCTCTCATCTCATTCATTAATGCGATAGGCCAGGTCCGCTTGTCCTTCAATGTACGTAATGTACCTAATGCAGCCATGCCATAGCTATCAACACCTGTCTTATCGATAAGCTTACGTCACTTTACCAAGAATCCAACACCGCCAAAGAGTCGCAACTCTTACATTAACTCTACCAACTTGCCAATTCCCCAATCATGTAAATAATTTATGTTCAGGTTCAGGAGCATATCCAGGTCCATTCAGAGTGAGCATATAGTATTGTCTTCCTTTGAATTCTCCTTTTACAATGAGTCACCAACGATATCCGTCAATTGATCCGAAGGAGCCTCATTCCGTCTCCTTGAAAGTCCTCAGGTACTTAAAAACCAATGCTTATACCCTCCCTACCTACTTACACCCCAACCCCTCCCAACTTTGTTGTTGGATATACTCTAATGCTCTCTTGTTATAATAAACAGATTATCCAGACCTTCTCTCGTAGTCCAACACCCCTTACTTACACCCGTCTCCTCCCTCCCCGCATCGGTCCAGCAGCAGGAACTTCCGATCCCCGCCTCGCTCGCCTACCACACCGACGGCGACACTAACCCGGACCCGTTCCTCCTCGCGCCTATATTACAACTCCCCCCGTCCTTTGGATCCGCTTACGTCGGCGAGACCTTCAGCTGCACGCTATGCGCTAACCACGACGTCCCGCTGCCGGGTGAACTCCCAGCACCCGCCGTCGCCGCAGGAGGAGCAGGGGCAAACCTAGCGCCAGGGAGTCCACTGCACCCCCCCAAGCGTAAATTCACGCGCGACGTGCGCATCGAAGCGGAGATGAAAACGCCCGGGTCCAGCGCAGCGCAGAAACTGTCCTTGCTAGGCGCGAACGGGGCAACTGCCGACGCCGATGACGACAACGGAGAGTCGGACGCCAAGGGCCACCGCCACGCTAGAGGCGTCGACCTGGAGCCGGGCGACACGCTCCAGCGCATCGTCAACTTCGACCTCAAGGAAGAAGGGAACCACGTGCTCGCCGTGACGGTGAGCTACTACGAGGCGACGGAGACGTCGGGGCGCACGCGCACGTTCCGCAAGCTGTACCAGTTCATGTGCAAGGGGTCGCTGATCGTGCGCACCAAGGTCGGCGCGCTGGTGCCGCCGCCGCCGCCGCCGTCGCGGTCGGATGTAGATTTGGATTGGGACTTGAGTGGGAAAAAGGGGAAAGGAAGAGGGAAAGGGAAAGGGAAAGGATGGCGGGATAAGAACAGGGACAGGAGAAGATGGGTTATGGAGGCGCAGCTGGAGAACTGCAGCGAGGACGTCATGCAGCTGTCCCGCGTGGGCCTGGACCTGGAGCCGGGGCTCAGGTACCGCGACTGCAACTGGGAAGTCGCGGGGGGCGGCGGCGGTGGTGGTATTGGTGGGTGCGGACGGCCGGTGCTGCATCCGGGGGAAGTGGAGCAGTGCTGCTTTGTGATAGAGGAAGATGACGATGACGATGACAGAGATCGGGGACCGGACGGGGCGAAGCTGCGGGTCGACGAGGACGGGAGGATCGTGTTTGGGGTGCTGGGGATCGGCTGGCGGAGCGAGATGGGGAATAAGGGGTTCCTGTCTACGGGGAAGCTGGGCACGAGGATTGTTGCGAGGTGAGTCCGGGGAACCCGGGGAGCCGGGGAGCAGGGTGATTGCTTTCTGATGAAGCGGTGATGACTTTACGAAAATGGGAGCGTATATGCTACCTACCAAGTACATACAGATATGGGTTTTCTTAAGGGTCCACTGCAAGGAGAAGAAGAGAGTAGGTTACGGTATTCTACTGCAACAACAACTCTCGGGCTCCGGTATTATCTGCATTTACTACTTGCGTGCCTGGGATATGGTAGGTTATCTGAGCGCCCGGCGATATTTACGCGGGTCACGAACCACGAAACCCATTGGGTTGGACTACGTCGGGATCACGACATGTTTTGTGAGAGGGCGATGTATGTAGGATAGGCGTGTCATCTTTATTTCTACTAGCAATCACCCGAAGAAAAGATTGACGGGCCGCCGGCAATACCACGACATAATTCGGACCCCTAGGGGCTAGGGCGATGGGAAGGAAGAAACTGATAGTCTCCCCTATTACCTATTTCCGTATGAGCTTGTTTTAACACCATGAACGATGGGGGCATTCCCAGGCTAGATAACCAGTCCCCTGATACGGAGGATTACCGTCCCAAGAGCCGCATGCTAGGGTAATATATCCTACGATCCTATAAATATCGTAGCATATTCGTCACGACACGCAAGCCTTCTCTCCAGTTACACCTAACCGGATATTTGGGAAAAAATGAGCTGTCAGATAAGAGAAAAATTCTCCTAACGTAGCACCATTTTTCCCCTTCTACATACCAAGCATACCTACATACTACGGATTGTACCTACATGTACGCCACTAAAACGGCCGCATGTTCGTGTCCTTCTTTAGATCGACTCATGGATTAAGCTAGGTAGGCTAGCTTGCTGGGCTGGCTGTCTGGCATAACGGCAGCGGCGCTCAGACTCTTTTTTAAAAAGGACCCTGGCATTACCCTAGCTTATCTTACCCCATTGGCGAACTAAGTTACTAGGTCCTGACTGGAAACGCACCTAATTGTACCGAGTGTCCTAGGGCTAAGCTCTTGACGCATACACGAGTCCAAGAACGCCTGCAGATGCATCATGCACACTCGGAATTTTTTTCTGTTTCCTGGCGAGGACGCGGGCGGGCGGGCAGGCGTAGAGTACCTCATGTATGTAGTAGAGAATGTGTCTTGCGTGCCTAGTTCATAAGCGGTGAGGGAAGTTGGAACAAAGCCCATCTTTTTTGGCTGCATCAAACCGGTTCCAATAATCAATCGCTCGAAATCGCGGGGCTCGAGAAAATCGGATTATAAGGATCTACGATAGGCCGGCCCAAAGCGCAACGGATGAACCGCCCCTCATTCCCTAGGCACGATATAGGAAAAAAAAAATTTTGTATGACCCCGTTCCTGATAGTTACAGCATGCCTCGCAAGATTTTTGGGGATTCCGGAAATCTCCTTGCGATGTTACCTTTTGCGGGGGAGGACCATTACTATTATTGTTAAAGTGTGCGGCTGCTAAACATCCCTTCCGGACCGGAAGATTTCATCGGACGCCAGAACCGTAGTGTATTAGTTAAATCCTTCTATAGCCCAGCATTTTCTGTCGTCAGACTTAAAGGTGGACGGCGACCGGATAGCCAGATAACCGAATCTTCGGAGTAGACGAACGACTTGAGAATCTTGATAATTTCATATAAGCTTGGCCGACGATCAATTAACCAGTTAGGTGGTGGACGGAATTAGCAACATGGAGGGTTTGGCCTATTCTGGAAGTTGTGAATCGCGACCTTGTCTTAAGTGCTGACGATCAACTTCAAACGTAGTTGTAACTAGCTATAGCTAAATGATACGCGAGTAGCTCGACAACGTCGTCAACAGCTCGTATTGCTGACAAACTCTCATAGTAATAAAATTACCATCAAATGTCGATTCGACTGTTATGGCGTGACAATGCTACCTGGCCTTGATTGAAGGTCGGTATATAGGTGAGTAAGTCAGCGAAGTTACGAATCCGCTCTGACGAGCGTTTGTTCCAGCTACGTCACTTGTGCGGCACGGTAATGCTGTACCTGATGCTAGGTTACTAGGTTACGAGCATGGGATCCATGGATCAGGTGGATTGTGCCTCCAAGAACGGCTGCAAGGATTCCACGAGCTTGTTGATCACGAATAAAATCCTGTGAGAAGTGAGAAGATGACAGGTACGGATTACAAGGATCGGGATTCCCTGACGAGAACATCGCCAGCTTCAGATTTACACTACGTAAGCTTTCCCACCCCAGAATTCCAGGTTTCTGTATATATGAAACCCACCTGGCCAGAAAGCACAGCTGCGAGAGCCGAATATCTCCGTAATCCATACAAGTCCTAAAAAGAACTCGGTATGCGGAGCGCCTAGGATCGGCGTAGATTAGGAGCCAGGAACCGCGAAGAGCGGTCACTTCACCGTTGTTTGTAAAGTTGGATTGATGGGCCGGCTCCTGGGGTCAAGCGCCCTCTCAACTTCTGGAAAAAGCAATAGCCAGCTGGGTATCACTAGATTTCCCATCTTCTCATCTTTTCGGCTGTCTACTGTGTAGCCGGGTCGCTAATATCCATGATAAACCCCCACAAGTCTGAAACAGTACTGGCCGATTTCCGTCTGGATATCTGCAGCGGCGTCAAATAGGTAAACGTCGGATTTAGCTGATAGGATGGTGTTCACTAAAGGGGCAAAGGCCATATGGCAGGTATATGCCTGACTGTAACCTGAATAGATTATGCGATATGAATCAATGCTGCCGCCTTATTATTATTGTTGATTTGACACGTTGACCTTCTACCCGAGAATCGCGTATCTATTGGGTCGGATTGGACGACAAGATCGGGCGAGGTGCGTCGCTGATAATATATCGTGCTTAGACTTGTCTGTGTATCTGAATATGTAGATACCTACCTCCCTCTGGTAATAAAGGGAAATAAAAAAGAGACGAATACCACAGACGATTGTGACCGTGCGCCAATCCCGGCAAAGACCGTGGACATTTTTACCTTACTATGTAATGATCTCGATATGAACCCCTGGATGAGAAGCTCTGACCATAATGGAGACATGTCTTGGCCACTAGTTTTTAGCAAGCCCAGAAAAGTAGCAGACCATCGCTAGCCCACAGGCTTCACTGACAGGGACCAGTGGAGTTGTGTCTGCATCTAAAAGAACCCCATAACTGGCTGAGCTATGCTCGAAGTAGATAGTGGCATTTCTTTGGCCTTCGATGTATTGTACGTAAAGTTCTGCTGATGTCCAAATACGAGCTGTATCTTTTAACCTGGGACTACCTAGGTAATAAGGGGTAGAAGAGATTTCTTAAATCATTAAGGCAGGTTGAAAAGGGTGTGTTGCCCCTGGATGGTTGGCAATGCAGGAACAATTAGATACTTACATGCAGATATTCCTCCAATTCCTCCGACAACTTTACTGAGTACTTGTTCCCCTCCACTTAGAAAGGCGAGGAGATATTAAAAAAAAGGGGGGAGGGAGAAAGACACCCAGAAACAATAGTCCGGATACTGTAGGCACTAATAATTATGGTCTATCTGCAAGGTACGCAAGGCCAAATATCCGGACCAGTAGTCGATCAGTAGTCGCGAGAGGTATTTCTTTGACACGTCTATCGTGTTCAATGGTGTAGTATAGTGACATAGTGACATGGTAACATAAAGACGCACTAATGATTTAGCTAATAATAGTAGTTGCATGCTCACCATTTCGCGGTTTCAAGACGCGCACTAGAGGATAGATCGTATTCTTCAGTAGGTGGCTAGGTTAGATATTACGCGGATATTAGAATAGCGGATGACGAAAGGCTGGAAGGGTTGGGTGTATTGTCCGAAGGTACAGCTGTTGAAGATGTGTTGTTCAAGATACTGTTTCACCGCATGAGGCAAGCATCCATGCTCTTCTTACTCTCTGTCGTTGGTGAATTGTCCAGTCAAGGATCAGGTTTCGGTTTTTTTTTTCCTCTCTTTTTATTTTTCATCTTCGAGGACTTAACTCCTGATGTTGTATGGCTGATTGTATGTATGTACCTAATGTATGTAGGCACATTTTGGAAATTTGGAAATGTAGGTGTTGAGAAAAAAAAAGATTAGAGGAAAAAAAAAAACAACAACAACATTGCAAACATTAAGTTTGATGTATGTACGTAAAGAATTTAGAATTGAGCCTTCCACAACCTCGCGCCTTCAAGAAGTACTAATCATATTTGCTACCAATTGAGTGACCTTGGATCGGAAACTGCTACAGGTCGATATGCATGCAGCTGCCTACAAAATATATCTCGCAGACAATTCGGATAACCCCTAAAAATGTGGCTTTCCCAACTGCCAAACTAGCCAAAGCGGTGCTCCCATACCTACCTAGGTACCTAAGGTAGTTCCCCCTGTTGGGTCAACTCAGTGCCCTTTTACCCCTGTAAGAGGGGGGCGGGACAGGGGTTCAATGGCCTGGGTGCTGGAGTTATGTTGTGCGATAGGTGATACGTAAAAATCCCACTATGTGCTACTAAAACAAAATGGGAAAGGATGGTGGGGTTTGTTAGCGGTACCAAGTCACTCCAAGTCACTCCAAGTCCCCCCAACTGTCCAACTGCAGCTTTTCGTTCATTTCGTTCATCAACCATCTTCACTCCACGCATACAAAGTGCCACATCCAATGCCACGCAGACCCCCTCTACCCCCTTCCTATGTAAGGGTTTATTCAAGGTAGTTCTGGGTAGTTTTTTCTTTTTCTCCTCTTTCCACGACGACTCGTTCAAGTAGTCCGTCATTGGATGTTCCAAAATCCAAACTGCTCCAAAAGGTGCTCCACGAACCTGGGGATCGAACTTGTTTGAACTTGTTTCTTGAACACACGCATCCTTTTGGAGCTTATCCCAGCCTACTACCAGCCTACTACCAGCCTACTACCAGCCTACCTACCAGCCTATCATCAACCTACTACCTCGTACCAAGCTTACCAGCTTTACCATCCTACTAACCTGCCAGCTTGGGAAGCTTGTCTTCTCATCTTGTCCAGTCAAATTCCCATTTCATCCCGCTCTCATCTTATTCCATCTCACCCAATCCAACAATCCATACACACGCCTCGAACTGCCCGCCTGCATCCCGTCGTCCACCCACCCGAACGATAACGCCGCATAAGGGCATGTAGCTGCAGTCAAGCACTGCATGATTGTCTAAGGCTGTTTTGGAAGCATTGCATACCAATAAATCGTGCGTATCTACCCGGCGCCAAAATAGATCTAAGCCATAAAAAGAGGGCAGATAAACAGCACGTCGGCTGCTTCTGCCCGAAAAATAAGACAACCACGGGCAAAAATATTACAACCCGGGTAATAAACGGTAACAGAAAAGTGCTTCCCGGTTGCCGAGGTCACTTTATACAACGGGTTAATTAACTGACAAGTCGTTAAGTGGGAAAAACAAAATAATCATATCTGACTTGTCGACACCTATCTTATGTCGATGGCCGTTTTGGCTTTGGTTTATTACGGCGGTTTGCTTCAATAAACACGATATATCGATATCCCCTCGAGGACGCTCCGCAGAGTAGACCCTACTACTAAGCATTACCTTGTCGTATCCGACCAGTCATTCAATCGCGACCTTTCCCGTCCTTCGCTTGTACAACGGGATATATGCGTCGGATATTGGTATCCAAGCCACAGATACCCACAAATCGGGTCTGAGGAACAAAAGGAAACAAACTAGCACAGGTCGACCTGTTGCTTAATATCTAGCGGGCCTCTGGCAAGCTTGCTCTTAAAATATTAATCCGACTTCTCTAACCTTGTCACGGGTTTCACTTCATATTGTTTAACTTGGGCTGAGAAAAGAAGGGATAACTCCTAAACCTGAGATGTCATGGAGAACCCTTCGGCACCGCTCGCGGACTACTTCTGGATTGCGGGCGTCGCGTCCGTGTCCTACCATGACCTTCCACCTCCAGCCTCTGCCACTCAGGTAGAAGCTACCATTACTGAGGATCACGAGCCTGACGAGGACCTACCCGACCCAGCCGCTTCTCTAGCTAACAAAAACAATTCTAGACACTCCCGTCAGAACTCTAGCAACAGGCTCTCCAAGATTTCTACTAGTTCGATCCATACACTTGAGGAGCTAGATGGGAATACTAGGAGTAATAGAAGCAGCGCCACGATTAGGCCAATCCCGCTTCCTGGAGCCGCTGGCCATGAAAACCTCCTCGGCGATTTCGACTTCGACAAGGCCCTTGTGAAGTTCGCCGCGGAGAGAGAAAACTTCTTGGAGGATTTAAGCTTTTCAGCCGGCGCCAAAACGCAGTCACGACCGCCAATGATTGTCCCCCGCGCAGAAAGGATAAAAGCCGACGAATCTTCCTCCGGAAGGATGAGCCCCATGAAAAGCATCAGGGGGAGCATCCGTGGTAGCATCAGGCGGAAGATAAGCTTCAAGGACATGAACAGCGTGCGAAAGCAGCCATCAACCCCGAGACCTGGTATGGACCCTTTTCGCAACCCAGACCGAAGGACTTTCTTAAGAGAGTTGGCAGAAGGACTACCTGCAGAAATTTTCGATCATGATTGCAAAAAAGATTCGGCATTATGTACTGACTTTTGTAAACTAGCTTCAATTCGGACTACCAGGAGAATGAGTAGCTACAACTCTGTCATCCCTCCACCCGAACCTCTTAATCTCGACCCGGATATGCACCCCTTAAAACGACGATTTGAGCCCGAGCTCCTAGACCGATATCCTCCTCGAGACGACATGGAGGGACTTAGTAAGAGGGGGAGATTTCCAGATTACGTACCGATGTTCGCATTCCCCAATGACATACACATAGTGTCGTCAGATGAGAGGCCGCGGTCGACTTGGCATGGGTTCACGATGACATCGGACGACAACTCCAAGATCTACGGTGTGACCATCATCGTATGGACAGCACTTACTATGGATGTAGCGGAAGACATCGAAAGACGTTGCGAGCGTTGGAGGCAGAGGCACATGACGGAGGAGGAACGGGAGCTTGCGGGCAGCCTCGGGGCACGTCTCGCTGCAGAACGCGCGCACTTATCGCAACTGCTTGCCAAGCTCCCTACAATACCATCTGGGTCCCAAGCCCGCGAGGCACTTGACGATCAGATCAGTGCGGTAGAGGAGAAGATTAGTTTGATGACGGAAATGTTACGACCCCTGAGACACGGCGCCGCGTCAAAGATAGATGGCTTGACAGCGGGTGAAAGTGGCCTCTGGACACCTCGAGCGTACGGCATCCTTGGAAGAGATGCTACGAGAGTCGGCTTCTGGAAGGATTGGCTTCGGGCTGTCATTGTACCAATGACAGATGGTGGGGTTCTACGCATACCTCCAAGCTCTCCACGGGTGGGTCGTTGGCAACCACTAGAACGATACGTGGTTAACCTGTGCACTGAAGCATTCAGCCCTCTCGGTTCTAAAACCCAAGTTGAGATCGGCGTGCGCGAGTTACGTCTGTATGCGCGGAAGGAGGCCATCAACGAGCTCCCGGGTTCTCGCAATACTGATCTTTACGCCCTATTCAGATCCCTCTCCCTGGAGAATATTGTCACCCTTTTCGAGTATGCGATGTCAGAATCTCGGATTATCTTCCTCTCTTCACATACCGCGATGTTACATCTGGCTTCCCACGCTCTAGCCAGCCTATTGTACCCATTAACCTGGGCGAGCATTTTCATACCTATCCTACCGGCACGACTTATCTCTGCTCTTGATGCGCCTTGCCCTTATATCGTTGGTATTGAGCGGAGATATGATAACATCACGCTTCCCGATGATGATTATGTCCTGGTTGATCTCGACAAGGACACGATTGATTCGACAACATTACCAGTCCGTCTCCCAAAGCAGCATCGCCGGAAGCTTCTTTCGCTCTTGCAATTTGCGGCGCCGCATAGCCTGCGTTATGGTGTCATGACGGGACCGCCTCCTTATGCAATTGAGTCCTTCCCTTACGATTCATTCTCCGTTGAGAATAGTACTCTTGTCAATGAAAAGGCCGTACCAAGTGCGCTATATAAATGGGTAGCACAAAATTCCTCGTCTTTCGGGGAGCCCGAGCCAGCTGATTCCCTCCAGCCGCCTGTGTTCAACGCCTTCTTGCACGCAAAGCCTGGGGCAGAGAGACCTACCACTAGCAAATCAAACAAGACCAGCCCTCCGTCATCAGTGTCGCCTGTGTCTGTAAATTTTCCGCCTATGCCAGCTACACCAGTTTCCAGAAGCGACTCTGGATATGCGCTATCAAACACGTTGAGAGAGAAGAGGTCGGGTCATTTCGAGAAAGAAGGTCGGCGCAGTTCATCTTTCAACCACGCCCCTGTTCACCGACCCCACGCCCAATTCTTCAATGGCCACCAGTCAAACCTGTCCATCTCGGCCATTTCGATCGATTCCCAGTCATCTTACGGTGGTTATGCCCCGTCAACCTACGCCCAGTCAACTCTGGCAGCCTCTACTGTAATGCCTAACATGCTCGTCCAGCCCGTGGAGAATACCGACTCTACGATGTGGGTCGAGGGGCATTGCTTCAATTACTGTGACAATGACGCAACCTCAACCTGTGCGATTTGCGATGAGCGCTGCGAAGGTGATGGATGGTACAAGTGCTCTGGCTGTGGAGCAGTCTCGCATGGACGCTGCCTTGGATGTGTTTGTCTCGTATGTCCAGTTGCTTTCAATGCCGACAAGGTTCGGGCTTCTTTCGTTCGCTGTCTTGCAAGTTTACTTTACACGTACCGCAAATACTTGGGCAGACCAACAAAGGAGCAAAAAGCTAATGGCCAGCTTTACGGATTTGATATGAATGGCTTTATCAAAAGCTTACCATATGACCAGCAAGACTACGTGACGATGATGAAGGAGACGCAAGGTGAGTTACTATACTTGATCCTCGTTTTGTAGCGTTTGCTGATCATGCGTTAGCATTCAATGAGTTCATCCACGAGCGCGAGACGAAGCCTGCTACCAACCCAGAGATTCGGCTTTTTGATGATATTATTCTTGCTAAGAAAGCTCGTGGCAAAACCAGCCTGTCCTCGGGATTGTCACGCCTCTCGACAATAAGGGCCTCGCATGGCGTCTCGACATCCTTAACTGGCCTCCAGATACCGTCGAGGCATATGAAACCAACATCCTTTTTAACTGACACATCTGACCACATATGGAGGACTGCTTGTGTTCCTGTGCCAAACTCGAAGTTTGACGGGGATTACCATTCAGTGACAACAAGGATGCCGACTCGGCTAGACCCATCACTGATGAAGGAACCTCGTGCTATCCAGGGTGTACCACACCCCGAGCAACGCAGAAGGGGGGTAATGAGGAAGCAGGTCCCTAGTATGATGATACCTAACTCTCCTTAAGGCTCTCGACAGCTCGTGTTGGCTGTGCCAACTACGTATCGTACCAAAACGATAAGTTCGATTCAGCACTTTGCTAGAATGTAATATTAACTTGGGCGAAGCCTTTTAGCCCTAGCCCAATCATGTACTATAGCTCTGCGAGGGGGTAGGGGGATAAAGTGGAAGATCCCCAGAGTCACATTCAACTGAGAAGCAGAAGCCCCCAAGCTTGATTTCTATATTTCCATCCCCGTTCCAAACTAGCATCTGATGGCGAATTTTTACAGCATTAGGAGAGGGGGTGTACGAGAGAATTAAGAGGATATAATGTCTAGCTTAAATTTGCTTATTAGACAAACTACTTTAGGTAACTAGCTGAGACTAAGTCGTCAGCAGCATAGTTGAGGAGAGAAAAAGAAAAAGAAGAAGCCGACGATGAAAGGAGAGAATCCCTGTGGAAAGAAAGAAAAAAAAAGAAAGAAAAGGACCAGCTTGAATATGTCGTTGGACTTTTTATTTTTTTAAAGAGATAGGCAGGCAGATCGAGATCGCGCTGAATTTACAATACAAGAAAGAAAGAACCTCCGAAAGGAAGACAGACAGACAAGACCGATGACAGGTATACGATGTTTTTTTTTTTTTTTTTTTTTTTTTTTTTTTTTTTTTTTTTTTGGTTTTTTGTTTTTTTGTATTTTATTGGCAAGTATTTATTGATTTTTAAATGGACAAGAAACGTCAAGAAAAAAACGCAACCGTATGTAACACGTAC